AAAAAAACAGTGATGATTTGGAGCTTTCACAAAACTGAAATTTTTTATACTATTTTGTGACAGGAAATTCAGCTAAAAGTAATTTATGATATACAAAGAGTAGCAATTTTAAATTTTCTTTTTCATTAAACTGTTAATAAATAACTTAAAAACTAGGATGCCTTAAACATAAATTATGCATTTTAGTACAGTTACAATTGCAAAGATCAATTAGCTGTTTTAACACAATTGTTCATGAAGATCATTGTTCTTGTCCTGTGAGTAGGAATAAATTAACTTTATAACAAGACATACAATAATGGTGTATCTCACTTGCAGTTAAAACATAGCTAATAATTTTCTTATTACAAGGTACATTAAAAAAGCTACTAAAAAATGTGTTATTAAGTTGCTTTTTAAGTTTATTTTTCTACCTGCCTTATGAAGTGAGTATTTTTGGTAGCTCTAAAGGGGGAAAAGAAATTTTAAAATGTCATATGGATAATAAAACTTGGTTAGTATCTGTATACATTTGTGTTTAGCGTCTGATTTTATGTGTACACTGCATATTTCATGTTGTAATACTTTGTGACAGAATATATTGTACTGAGTATAAGTGCTTTCTATCCAGATATTATCCAAGAAAACTTATTTTTATTTTAGAGTAGCCTATTGCACTAGAAACACATTAGTAAAGTTTAACAGAGGCAAATAACCTCTTAAATTAAACTTAAATTAYGCTTTTTAAAATAATAATTTAAAAAATCCACTCAACCCAAGGAAAAAAACACCCTTCCATACTAACTTTCCTTGGATATTTTTCTGTTACCTGTTACTGTTTATGTGATACAGCATGTAACATCTTTCCTTCTGAATTTTCACAAATTCTCTTTTTGAGTTTAGTGCAGATCCATGGTATTTAGCCTGCAAATGTCGGCTTGGTTTACCCTTGCTAGGTGCAGTTTTGTGAGTATGCATTTAATGGTATCAAACCTGGTCAGATTCCACATTAAAAGTGAAGGCACTATTGATTCTGGGATGGATTCTCTGCTCACCATGATCAACTTTTTGTCAAACAAAATGCTATCTCTTTGCAAGGTGTCCAATAACTCTTTCAATACCAAAGAATAAGTCCAGTGAAGACGTAGCTTTCAGTTTGTACTCTTGCATGCTTCAAGTGCTGAGCTGAATACACTGTGGGACAAGGCTTTATGTAAACTTTGTCCAGTTGAGGAATTTATGAAGATTATTATACCATAGTTTTTTCCTATTCTACCTCATATTCCATCCTTCTTCCTTTCAAATATTCTTATTTCTTGAATTTGTGCCACTCCAGCATTGATTTGTTGAACTGGACAAAACAGGGGGATTGAATTTATTCCATTTCATGGCATGTAAGTATATTAACTAGTTCTCCCATTTCAAAGCATGTATTAAGTATATCGATGTTTCTCCTAGTGGAAGCTATTGTCTGGACAGTGATAAAGTGTATATTTGCTCTTTACCATCAGAAGAGCCAACTGAAAAGAGATGGTGATAAGTAACTAGCTCTCAGAATTTTTTAAATATGAATGCTAACCACAACTGCAAAATTACATTAAGTACTGCCATTTCAAATGACAATTAAAACTTACATATTATTGAAGGAAATAGACTAGAGTAAGTGCAGAAAATCATATGTCAGATGATTTAAAGCAGATGTAATGTGAGTTGTAGCAGGCAGCCAATACCAGCCTTGTTTTTGTGTTACTAACATCAAGATCTGTTGTATCCATGTGCACATATTTGTGTGCTTGCATGTGTATCTACATACATATACATTCATAAACATGCACATCCACTATGTTACAGATTTCTATAGTAAAAAAACACAACAAACAATCTCAAAACAAAACCTATGAGTAATCTTCTTGATGCATAAGTTTCAAGTCTGGGATATTTTTTCAATGGTCATTTAGTGGAAGGCCTATGACCTTCTGTGGCTTTTTTAATTCCCTTATCATAGGATGATTTTGAAATTTCCTAGGACTYGTGACTAGAATTTTTTAAATACCAAGCAAGTGGGTCGGTGCAACAGTTTATTTTAGTGTAGAAGTGTTGTTTTCGTATAAGAACAGAGCACTTATGTCTCTGCTTCCATATACTTTTATTTTTAATTTGGGGGTGGGGGGGGGGTGTTCCTAGCAAGTATCTTTGCTGGTGCATATATTTTGTCAGAACTTGAAGAACAGAATAAATAATACGTTTATGGCTCTGTGAGTTGTAAAAAATGYATTGAGCAAGTCAGTTGCCATCTTCTTAGATGAACAGGAGATTCTGTAAATCTGTCTATTTGGGAAACCAGATGAAAGTCCTRCAGATTTCACTTCTTCTTTGTTTATTATAAGGATAACATCTTTTTTCTGAAGTTTTTTATATAGTTGCTCACTTTTATCTCTGATGCACCTATTTATTTCCCCTTCTTAAAGAAAGAAGAGTATACATTGTAGAAATATATATAATGGAATATAATGGAAATGGTTGTGGAAGCTATGGATCAGATATAATAAATATGAGATGATAATATCTTATTTGTTTTGACAAGGAAAGAGCAAATGTGTGCATTATAAGACAGGTTGCTCGGAAAACTTGTGGATGTTCCGTCACTGGAAATGTTCAAGATCAGGTTGCATGGGGTTTTAACTCAAGCATTTAATGATTCTGTGATAAAAGAATGTGGAAAACTGTGTATGATTTGTATATTTATGTAGAGATGGAGATTAATCCATTTATGAGACAACATTGTATACCCTTCTGCTTTTTTGTATCAGATGCTTCAAAAACATTATTTTCTGAACGTAGTTGATGGCATAGTTTGCCTCTGGTGACTTAGAACTGTGATGAATTGATAATATAAACAAAAATATAGGTAATATCTTTGGACATGTTGGTTGATGTCTGCACATTGTGACTGAGGACATTTGGAAGGAATTACTAGGGTTATTAATTTTATATAAAAATAAAAACAAAGGCTATTTATCTATAATGTTTACCAAGACTGTTACATAACTTTCTAACCTTTTTTAAAAAGAACTTTGAAGAATGCAACTTAAGTGCAATTTTACCAGTACAGGTAGACTGSATATCAAAATTGCATGAAACAATGGAGTACAGAGAAAACATTTTAGGTATACTTGAAGATATTAGAAGGCTTCATGAATCAGTTTATCAGTCTGCTTGCACAACTGTGTTAGCTTTTTAAGAAATGTAATTTTAGTTGGGTGAGTTAATTGACATATTTGTAATTTATCTTCATTCTAAAAAGAGCTTTGAAATATTGCAGATAAAGCTCAAAGGGAAGCAGAAATAATATTGTATGGATAATAGTAATAATAATAATAATAATAGTTATTGGATCCATTACTGTATAATGAATAAGTGACAGATAAAACTAATTTTTTTCAGTACTATTACTTCTGGATATATGAGMAGTATTAACTGGAACACTGTTTGATCTGGCATTAAGCTTCATATTAATGGATATATCCATAAGTGACATGGGGAAGTACATAATTTGAATAGTGACATATTTTTTAGATTAGCAGAGGTAGGAAGTTTGATAAATATGGTGACTCTTATAACTAAAATGTAGATGGATGTGAATAACTTAGGAATTTTGTTGGGCAAATAAGAGGTGAGAATTAATGTAAAGAATAAACTAATAGATTAAGGAAAGAATATCCCAGACAGGCATAAACCAGAACATTTTTCACTATATTATAATTTTGAATAAAACACCTTCTGCGTAATTTTATTGATAAGAAACAGGAACTGAATTTTAAAGTCAGCAGCACATCAGGCTAAGACTGATTTAATTTTGAARTTTGTAATAATGGTGCCATTTCACTTGGGCTATGATTCAGGTAAATTATTTACCTAGATTGACATGGATAATTGCTTATCTTTTGTTTCCCACCTTGAYTGGGCAGCTGATGTGCATGTTGCAGTCAGAATTGTTCCAACTTTTACCAGGCAAAAAGTCCTGATACTGTCAAGGATGCTTCACCATCCAGCTGTTACAGTCAAGGGGAGCTTCACTCAGCTTCTTGGTCAGGGCTATCTGGAGCTCCTGAGGTCATAGTGCAGGCCAAAGGAGCAAGGCAGGGGCAGGATGCATCATCACAGGTATAAATAGAAAGTTTTGTGGTAAAATCTTGCTGTGAACTTCACAAGATTGTGAACAGGTCCAGAAAGTAAGTTATGCTGTGTAGTTATGATAGACCTTTGTTAAAAAGGGAAAACAACTTTTACCCATGTCTAGATGGAGCAAAGTTTAGAAGAGGAAAGTTAAGCATGTTGATTGGGACTCAAGCAACTTAAAAATGCAAGAGCTCATGAGATACTGGAACTATGTACATTTCCAAATGTTACATTCTCAGTGGGTTTACAAGAAAAAATAAAGTGCTGTTCGTTGGCTTGGGTAATTTAAATGAAACAAAGAAACTATGTCTTGAAAAACCTTTTTTTTTGTAGCAGAATTTTTAGAAGGAGATGTTGAGTATAGTTCCTGTGAGTTTTCTTGTTGTAGTGTTAAGATATAAAGAGTAATCTCACACTAACAAGAGATTACCATGGCAAATACTAGCAATCAGTTAATTGTATAATGTATGTTGCTGATCATTATTTCTAGGTGGGATAGCTAACACCTCACTTAGAATGAAAAACTGGAAGAAATTTTCTCCCAGGAAGGAAGGATATCAGGAAAACTGTAGTATAATCATGTTACATCTGATACTTTTCAGTTACCTTGGTTATTTGTTCTCCAGAACAGTACTTGAGTCAAGTAGACTGTGTTAGAGTGATAACCATACAGTAGGTCAGCTGAGCTGCTCTCTTATGTGCAAGATCTGCATTCGAGCCTGTTCTGTTCTGTGTACTGGACACAGGGAAAAAAATTGGTTGATTTCGCAAGTAAGCATACTAAATCTCTACATCTTAAAATGTTATAGGCTGCTGTCATTGATATTCCATGTCTTTTTCAGGACAAAGAAGGAGTGGAGGGTGTATCCGTGGGAGCCATTCTTTCYGACTACCAGAGAGTTCGAGTTGAAGATGTGTAAGAATATATTAATCTTTTTCAGTATACACATTCTGGAAAGTACTCGTCTGTTTTCTAACTCGAACTTAAGGCAGGGACAGTTGCCTGATTTCTCRTGTTCTGTGATACCAAATGCATTCTATTCATTAATGTAGGTTTGGATGTTTTTTCTTTTTCTTCCTTTTTTTCTCCCCTGAGACCACGTGTTTGTTAGTAAAAAGATAGTAGATACTATACCAGAGTTTTTGATTGCTCTTCAGGTTTTTCTTCATCTGTTGAAAATACAARGTTTTGATATGAAAATAGTTGAGTATGTTCAGTTCTTTGATTTCAACAGAAAGCTCGGTCAGTTCCGGTAGCTACAGTGTTGTGGTCAGGTCTTTCTATTTTTCACCAATTTTAATATAGAGGAACACTCTGGGACTTGTTATCAGAAATTAAATACAAGAGAATCCTTGTGTGCATTTCTTCCCTTAATTAATTAAAATCTAAAATTTGTTATCATTAATCAGGAGCTTCCATTTGTCATTTCTATTGTGCACACTGGAAAGTCTATATAGATAGTGATTCTTTTAAGAGTCTTAATTAAAAAAGACGATTATGTAACGGAAATTGTGTCTGTTACATAGGCCAGTATTTGATGTGAATCTGAAAAAGATTTTCACTATATATGTCTGATGAAATGCAAAACCACCTTGTGTTAAAAATTAATTACAGTTTCATGAGTTTATTAATTATTTGTTGATAATGAAAGCAAACACCTTGAATCTTTTATGAACTGTAACCATGGTGAAATTAATGCTATGCCAACATAGCTTACGTCAGCAAGTAACAGAGCATGTTTATTTTCTATACAGTTTACATAGAAAAATTACAGTCAGAAATAACTCCTTTCTTTCTCTTTTCCCTTATACTTAAAACATTTTAATAATTGCCTCTCATGGTAGTAGATAAAAACAGGTCGCTTTTGTTGATTGTGACTTTTACATATTTACCACAGGTAAGAGATTGTCAGGAAATCACAGTATTTCAAACAGACCTGATTATTTCCAAGGTTTCTCAGTGGTAAAATATTTTACATTAATCTGTAGACTTAGCCCTTGCAATAAAGTTGTTTCACATGAACCATCCTGATTACTTGGATTCAGCTAATTTTGTAGCTGAAGTTAGGCACCTAAGTGAACTACTTTACATTCAGAGTTGCTAGAAACTTTGTTAATTAAAAAGTTTAGTGCTCTTTTAAAATATATAAAAGTAATAAGAAAACCAGTCAGATTATACYGGTACTATGCTTTTGTATGTCAAGAGTAAACATACATTTAACTATAAAGTCTTGACACTCATACTAGTGGGTCTATCTAACATATGGAGGAAAGCCCATACATGTGAGAAAGACCATGTATTAGAAAAAACATGGTAATTGACAAATAAATGCCAATCTTAAGTGCTTTAAACTAGTCCCATAGTTAAATGTTTAAATTTTTCAGGGCTAGACCTTTCATGTTTAATAACCGATGGTTCTTGACAATTTGCAGAAACATTACCTATCAATAATACAAATTCGTGATTCTCTAATGTGATAAACAATCAAATGCTGTGTATCAAATGCTGTCTATATATATGATATGAATCAAAACAAATTATTAACTTTACACTAACAGGTTGTTAATTTGTATCACAAGCTGTATGTATTTTCCTGAATGATTCTTTTCCTTGGGTGTTGATGCAAATCACAGCAACAAATTCAGCATATTATACTAGTGACGTGTGCCACATTTTTCACAGAGCAGTAACTCTGGCTTTAGCTGTGTTCACAAAAGTGATGACTTCCTAAGGTGTTAATTGCTTTGTGTCCCAAAAGGTTTAGGAATGTGTTTTCTCATGGCTTTGCTTATGTTCCCGTGCAGATCTGTTTACCTCAGTAAGCTGCATCTTATATAGATGAATTATAGTCAGAAAAAGTTTTTCTTTTTTAAAAAGATATATATGTTAGACTTAATGTTTATAATGAAATATAGGAACAGTATTGTAATTGAAATTATAGAAGAAAAATTCTTTCAAGGTATTAATTTTATATGAATCATGCTGTTGATTCATGTTGTATTCAATTTTTTGTTTGCTTTTCAGGTGCAGAAGGCTTAATCTTCAGCCTTTAGCTTACCTCTGGCATTGGAACCAGGAAACATTGCTTAAAGAAATTATATCATCTAACATTCAAGCCATAATCATAAAAGTTGCAGCTTTTGGTATGTATTCAAATTCTGAGCAGTATTGTCTACTGAAACTTCCCATGGACAAATCCACGACATAACAGAGAAAACCAGAATTTTTGTTCTATCTTTTAGAATATGAAGTGTTAATATGGAGAAAATTATAAAAAATGGCCCAATAACAGGCATGATGTCTGAATAATTAATTTAACAGGATGTAATTCATTCTTAAAGGAGATGTGGAAAAGCTGGAAAGTAATTCTTCCTAACATAGTCATTAAATTCCTCTCAACAAATTGTTTTTTGTTCTAGTTTGGTTTTGATTTGCAGTAAAGTTGCTTGAATAATTCACTTGTTCACAGTGTTGTCAATTATAGATGATGCAGGCTGGTGACTAGACAAAATTATAAAGCAACAGTGAAAGTTTTAATACAAATACAACAAATTAATATAAAACAAGATATACTGATGCGGCCAAAATATTTTGTATGACAGCAGTCTTTGAGTTAGTACATCATAGGAGCAAACAAAAATAACTCATCATTGCCTCTAAAATTTTTTTAGTATTTAAAATATAGTTATTTAGCACACCGGAAAATCAACATCTTCTCATTGTCAGCTATATAAAATGAGGTTTTATAGTTATGCRAAAGTTAACCTATTTGTTTATTGCTTGAATGTAAAGATAAGGTCAAATCAAGTTTTATAAGGTTTATGGAATGATGTGCTCTAAAAGCCTAAGGAGCACATGGGAAATGTTAATAATACAATATATTTATTTCAGGCCTCTAAAAAGTTTTCTGTTTCAGAGTAGCAAATAAATTTTTAAGCATAAAGTGTGACCAAAGGACCTTTTCTTTTGAGGCTGACTCAAAGAATGTTTTTTAKTATTAATGGTTTGTATCAATGGTTAAAGACCTGTGTTTGAAAAACTGTGTTACATAATCTTTCTTTAGGAGTCCTATGGCTGGTTTATGTGGACAGCTTTYCCATCAAATACCTAATCTCTCTAAGCTCAAAGAATGCTTCATAACAAAGTAATTTCTTAATTATTAACCAAGAATTGAACGATAATCCCTTTAGGCTGGATGGATTTCACTACTTTAAAAAAATCAATTATATTAAAAAATATTGTTTATTTATTCCTTTTTATGTGGTATAATTTCTAACTAGTTTTTACATTGTCATTATGCTGGTCTCACTCTATTGTTCTGTAGGATCTGCTAGGGSTGAGAGAAGGATTAGAATGATTAGAAATACCACATGCCTTATTCATTTACAGGTAACTACCAATGTAACTTAATTCTTATGAATTTTGGGAGGTCAGTTACAAATAGGAGTTGAATGCCATGTTTTCTATTACAAAACACTCCGTTTTAAATTGGAAAAAAAACCAACAATTTTTAAAATAATAGTTTTAAGGCCATGTAAAATACATTTATATACTTGTGTTATATTTCCATAAAATAGAATGCTTTCATTGCTTATACTGACATGAAGAAAAAAATRAAGTCCACAAAGCATACGTAACATATTCWTTCACATCAGAATTATTTTTTTAAGGAGAYACATTATTTAAATAATAGATAAAACTGTTTCCCAAGTAGACATCATTGATGACCTGTCAYGCCTGAAGCAAGATAAGCTTGTCTTTTGTATTCTACAGTCTTAAAAAAATTTAAAATGCACTGGTTAGTGCACAAAGAGTGCTTTGTGGGCTATTCATTGGAAGAGCGAATACCATAAATACTTGTAGATAGCAATTAGATAGAAAATCTCTCCAAGTTATTTTTCCTTTTTATTTTTTTTGGCTACAGGTAAAAGAAAGATCTTATCAGAGTCAATTTCTCACCTGCCTCAGGCAGACGTAATTAGATGTAAGCAAATTTAATGGAGCTTTTGTGCTCTGGGGCCATTCTGTAATGCTTTAATAATTGCATGCCTTATTAAAGTGGATTTAAGGTATGAAGGCTGTTTAACATATCAAGTGGCAAAGTAGATAAGATACAGTTTAACTTTTTGCCTCTTAGATTAACAATAAAAGTAAACTGCAATGAAAATATTTAAAATAACAGATTTAAGAGTCTGTAGGGTAATGCATTAGGTGATGCATTGCACAGYTAATGCAAGAAGCAAATCTGTAACCTGAGCTTGACATTCATCAGTGCTGGCATACTTGAACACCCGCCTTGTCTTGTTTTCCATTAACCAGTGCCAGAATTGACAAGGTAAAAGRCTGTCGTTTTATGTAGAAAACACATAATTTTGCAAGTAAATGAGCATTAGTTTAGTACATTTCCCTAAATCCACCATTACAAATTAATACCCTAAACTTTGCCAGTGGCAAGAGTTTTCTATCTTAGAGTAGTGTAGTCTTCCAGATGGGATGCCAATTGCTCTCACATATATGCAAAGAAAGTATTGTTAGCAACCTTTTTCACATGCCTTCTGTGTATCTATAAGTAGATCAGCTTCTTTCCTTTAGAGTATATTTCAGAGGCTTTAATGATAAGAGAAAAACATTCCATGATCTAGCAGCAAACCTAAGCACTGCATGTGTATATATGTGTGTACATATATATATTTATGAAAGCTATTTTTGCATATTTACCTTCAGTGCCATTTTCTTGCTGCTAAAAATGCCTGTATGGCACATTATACTTTTATCTTTGAAATATACTCCTCTTCAGTGGAAATTCCAGAAATTCAGATGTGGTTACTCAGTAATAACTAAAATTGAAGAAGTTATTGATTGTTTTTAACGTGTGTGCCTGAAATTCCAGTAATATCCATTGCTTATGTGACACATTTTAATATAGCACTGTGTAATAGARCAATTGTGCAATAAAACACAGTAAGAAGATATATCTTTAGATGTATTTTGCAGATTAAAATACTAGTTAAGTTGCAGAGTATACATTTAACAGATTCAACTTTAAATCTTGGTAATTTTGTGTATTGGTCTTATCTGTACCTCATTCTAAAGCAAATCTCTTCCACTGCAGTAYAAAGTCTAATACACATGTGGAAGTGAGGGATGGAGGAGGCTTAGATTTGAAAGGAATCTGAGATCCTTACATTATGATCCTTAGCAAAACTTGATGTTCAAGTTTATTTAGTTTTAGTTTTCTTATATTGTTAACTATACCTAAATCTTGTTAAGTATTAACACTGAAACTTAAGCACTGTGATACTTTTAAACTTCATTTCTAATACATAATAGAATATATATGAAATCAATTTTATGTGATGCAGTTAGTTTGTCCTCGGTGATTCTAGTTTTTCTTGAGGTTTCAAAAGTAACATTTATATTAAGTTTTCTAAGTGCACAATGTTACCTTGACAATGCGAGTATGTGTGGAATTGCTCCTTCAATGTTTCAGTCAAAATCAATGTAAGCTCAAATTTCTATCTTTTATGGGATTGATATGCATTATTTGCTTTATACGTTGCAGCTTCTTCCCAGCTGGTTATAGTATATTAATCATTTACTATTTAATCAAATACCTGAAAAAAACTACTTGGTAATTATGAGACCAGAGAATAGAAACACTAAGTAGAAAAATAAAAACTGATTAAATGATTAGGTGATGTTTCTAACCTCTAGCTTGTTTTTGGACCACAGGAAAGAAATTATACCATAGCACTGTTGAATTGTTGAACAATAATAAAAGCTGAAACTTTGAACTGGGGCTAATCAGCATGCATATGAAGTGGAGCTCTTTTATGCCATGACTACATTCTTTATCTTGTGGGTCCAGCTGCTGTGAGTGCYGATAGACATCCTACATTCCCAGCCATGGGTAGAGTTGAAACTACAGGGTTTGTGGCAGCCTAAATTTTGAGGTGGTATGGGCCTTAGTTACTTATACAAGCTGCTTCCCAATGGAGTAATGAGTCCTTGGGGGGCCATTGCCATCTCCTGTCTGTCAGAAAATCCCAAGCACCTTCACTAAAATGAGCTGTCTATARTACTTACATTTAAATTGAGACTCCTCTGGTGTGAGAAGATACTGATACTTACCTCACATGATCTAGAGAATTGGTATACTCCTGGTATTCATGGAGTTGACTATCCCGATAGTTTAGAGATGTGTATTTTTTTATAAATGAGTTTTGAATTGAAAAAGAGAGAATATTACTTCTTAGCATAATGAATCTATTATTTAAAGCTATCCAGCTAGGTGAYTGTGTTTCTGTTGATTTGTATGCCACTAGTGTAAAGAATTGAAATCTTGACTGACTGAAATTGATAGCCACACTCCCATTAATTTTCACAGAGGTAAAGATTTACTTGTAAAATACTACATTAAAAAAGACCTAGCACCACACAGTTCCTGGTTAAGCTCCTGAGGGTRTAATTTAGTGCACAGATAAACTGATGTAATACTAAGTTGCTGCCAAGGTCGATCTTTCCTTCCCACTTCTAGCTGACTTATCCGAACCACAAATCTCTGCTTGCTTCTGCCCCTGTAAATGCTTCAGTATTTTTGTGGCTGCATATAGGTGATCCAGCAGGATCTGCTATTTTGTGAGTGCAGGGAACTTGTTCTGTGGAAACCATGGCTGCATGGAGGACAAAACTGTCTTTCAATAGAAAGCTCACTAATAAATTGGGTTAGCTGCAATGGCATAAAAGAGGTGAAGTAAAATTGGTGGCTGTGCATTTTGTCTGAGCACATCATCTGTGTAATAGAGGAATGGTGTTCTTTGAACATTTGTCTCTAGWTTTTAGTACTGATCAATTTTAAGTAATTTTGAGGAAATTGAAGGATCTTGTTATGTATCACAGAGGAAGATAATTTTAAAAAATTCTCAGACCATTCACAAACATAACAGAAGGAATTGAGTAGCATCTTGTTAAGAAATCCATTTGACATCCTAGTTGCTTTCTTACATAATTTATAGTAAGGATTGTTTACTTGCCTACTACTAAGTACACTAAACATTGATATTATTCTTGGCTAATTCAGCTTATTTACAGGTGATTGTTCCATTGCCTTCTTCCTTGGGCAGCTACCAGACACTGGAGCTGT